CTCTCTCTCTCTCTCTCTCTCTCTCTCTCTCTCTCTCTCTCTCTCTCTCTCTCTCCATAAATGTCTACACCTGACCAGTAAAAACCCAAATAAAACCTGAACTCAGATCCCTTTACCTGTCCTTGCAACAATCACCATATTGATCTAGTTTCTAGTGATCATGTTTTTACTACTGTTAAAAAAAAAGATAAAACCAACAAAACCAAACCATCTGGGTTTCCTATAGAGCAGCATCCATTAGGTTTTCTATTCTTCATGCCAATTCACTTGAACTTGGGGCCAGTGTTACTTGTGGTGGACATCCTTGTACACATTCAGAGTTTTGCTATTTATACAAGCCCTGATAAAGATCAACCAGGTGATCAGGAGCGACAGCAGAGAGAAAGCAGTCTGAAAAAAGCATGAACAGGATGATGTGTGTGGTGATGTAATCATGAGACCCACGAACTTTGACCCACGAACTTTGATGATATAATCTTGGAGACCTATAAGCTATGATGATATAATCATGGAGACCTATGAGCTGTGATGATGTAATCATGAGACCTATCAGCTGTGATGATGTAATCATGAGACCCATTATTTTGTACGCTAACCAAAACCATTTTAAAAGGAGTCCTGCCTTTTACTATCTCCAGCCAGAACAGCTCTAGTCTCTTCTTCCATAGCACCTAAGCTGGCTCAGACCTCTGTGACCTCCCCACTGGCACACCTGTACATCCATGCTCATGCCCATTTGAGGCTCAGACTGAGGTTGGCTTTGCTGTGTCCAGATAAGAACTGAGACCTGTCTCTTGGAGACCACGCCCATAGTCTATGTATTATAGAGGACATCAAACTGAATGATTTCACCAAGCAGCAAGATTTAACAGAGAGTAAAATCTCTGTAGGCTCACTAGTAGTCAATCTGTTGGGATTAGCTGGGACACTCAGTCCCTCTCAAGATGGGTGTCTATGTCTCAGTTCTTGGCAGGAGACATGGGTATCTGATCACTTTCCTAGATCCAGGGCAATCTCAATATCATAATAGTCTACTGAAAGTGCTATTCAAGGCCAGCACAGTTATGTGGCTGGATAACTCTTGCTGCCCTGGGGCAGAATGAAGCCCTTTGGTGTGGTTTTTACGCAACTGACATTTTTAAAGTACCTACTATGGGTTGTACCTAAAGAGGAAGGCAATGAGCTGGGAGTAGTATTCAGAGTGAAACTGTCAGTCTCAGGTCAGGCTCCTGACATCTTCTATAAAATCAAACTGAGGACGGGTAAGAAAGTTCCAGAGAAAACCCAGAGAATCCCTTCTATTGATGCTGGTGCTGAGCTTGGCAGCTGCCCTTGAGTAAAAATGAACTCCTCCTCATGGCAGTGGGACGAGATGCTGATTCCAGCACCTGCCAGAGGCAGACAGCCGAAGTCACAGCTGCGTTGGTCAAATGAGCTTGGAGACAGACCTCAGGGGCTTCTGGGGCCTTGATGACTATCAGCAGGCTGCTGCACTCTGCAGGCAGTTTATTGGAACTGGGTTCTTGTGCCTTCTCCACCCCTCTGGGCTGGGTCTCAGGATTCATCAGAAATGCAGGTGGCATATCTAGACAATCAGCCGATCTGAGCTGCCACTGGGAAAAAGTATGGGCTATCAGAGAGCTCCAGAGATATCAAAGGGATCCCCATGAGGGTACAGGAGTCAGGGTACCAAAGTGAAAAAGAAGGATCTCAAGAGAGAGGCAGGGGAGTGTGTCTGACTCGAGGCTTTTATCGTCTGGCTCCTGAGGCACGTCTTCTTCCACAAAATGAGCATCTGATAGAACTCGGATGGATTCTGGCAGCATTGAGCTCAAACTGACAGGTGAAGAATAGATAGGAGGGGGCTCCGTGGTGTGCATTGGCAATACCAGAAAAGAGAGGCACGGAGGCGTCAGTAAGCAACGGGAAGGTAACAGACCAACCACACCTTAAGACATCTCTCCTTGGGAAATCATCATCCTGTAGGGTACACGGCAGGGAACAGGCAGTTGCAAGCCCATGAGAGTAAGGCCTCTGAAGTAAGACTATTATTCAGAGGTAACAGTTCTTCAAGAAAAATCCTAGACAACAGACTTATACTCGCTCAATAAGAAAAGCCGTGTCAAGCTCAAGACCTGTCAGATAGAGATAGGAGATTCCTTGCTCGGGATAAGAGAGAAGAAATACAACTTCTAGGGTTGTCCAGACATATTCCCACATATTTCCTAGCCTTTTATTTTAGTTTCTAAAAGCAAAGCCCTCCATTAGTCACCCAGACACTAATTCTAGCGCCCTCTCTATAGAGGACCTCCTGCTATTTCAGGACACTGGCTTTTTTTTTTTTTTTTTTAGAAGAATGTCCCCATCAGTAAGAAACATCAGCAGAGCAAGGGACCCACCCACTGTGACTCCTCGCTGCATCTTGATTTTGTGTCACTTCTCCAAACCTTGTGAGTTCAGGACAGCTGGCCTTCCTGGTGTCATGGTGCCCAGAGGATGGCAATTCCTTTCCATTTGTTGCCACTGTCTGTGGCCTTTCTACAAAGATGGGTCTCCCATGGTCTCATTTGCTTAGGTAAAGAGCCCGGCCAAGACAGCAGAGAGCAGGGGCATGGATCTTGGAGACCAAGAGCAGCATCGGAAAGGCAGATGTGAGCTCATTTAAGCAACCCCTTCTCTGCTCCGCACTTTGATTCAAATAAGCCGTGCATGTCTGACTATATGAATAAAGGCTTATGTTCCAAATGATAGGTCCTCCGAGCCCACTATTTTGTAAGTAATAACTGAAGCCGGTTTATGTTGTAATCTAAGGAAATAATTTGCTAATTATATTTTCCCCTCCCCCGCTTTTACATCTCTTTTTCTACACACACTGATTCAAACACCCTTTCTCATTTCTCTGACTCAGCAGATGGGGGGGGGGGTCTGGGGTTGTCTGATTTAGAGACAAGGAGACTCATGGGAAATGTGGTGCAGCTGAGAATGACCCAGCCTTGTGCAGGCCAAGACAGCCCTATACAACACACACATTAAATGCAAGACTCTGGAGGGTCCTTGTGCTGTGTTGGGATAAACTTGAAGCTATAACTACTAAGACATTTCTGTTTAGCTACAAGATACGGAATTGCCTTAAAAATAACATGGAAACCACCCTCTAATTACATCTAGATACAATTTGCTTTACTTGATGAAAAATAATCTATGCAATCTTCAATGTCTACATTTTTATTTGAGGTTTGAAAAAAAATCAGACATGGAAAAATAAACAGCCGGCATTCTGAATTCCCTCTGTGGTGTGCACTTCTCTCATGTGCTCTCTTAAGATTCTCAAACACCATTTGCTCAAGGACATTCAAGGTCAAACAGAATGAATGTGCTTCTGCTCAATGTGGCCCTGTCACCTTTGTCTCTCTCCCCAACGTAGGGCAGGTTGGATTCTGAGTCACTGTGTGAACACAACTGTTGGTTAGGACGACAAAATCAACTTCACAAAGGACTTTCTGCAAGGAATCCAACCTCAGCAGATGAAACCTGTGTCTGTGACCAAGGAAAGCAGAGGGGCAGGATGTCGGCCACCACTTCTGCTCATTGGGCGGGGCTCCAAGAGGAAGTCGAGTGCATAAAAGACCGCCATGTTTCCCTGGTCCAGTCTTGAGATGAATCGCTTCGTTGAGCATGCAGCGTCAACCTGAGGCCACAGCAAATGGAAAGCCTAAATGTTTGCCTTGGTTTGTAGCTGTCTCTGATGTGTTGTCCCTAAATGGGGCCCTTCCCATGGATTTATTTCATCAGCAACTTGTTTTCAAACGAAGGACTTGATAACTCTGATATGCTTTTATCTCTGAAAAATATGCAATTTTTACTGGTGACAGAGCTTTTCAAAGTTTAATTTGTATGTTGCCTATCTATGAGTTCTTGCTGAAGGCTGCCCTTGTTAGCACAGGGCTCCTGTTTCCTCTCTGGTCCCCTGAAGCTAATTACAGCTGCAGCATACTGCAGGGGTAATCGATAACCTCCTATGGTAGAATGGTAGATCACATCCAATCAGACCCTTATGCAATTAGTCCAGTGGACATATATGTGTATGCCTTAATTAAAACAAAAATATGATCGGTAAGAGATATGCTTCCATTCATGACTGGCATTCTGTTTTGACACATCAAATTTGTTTATTCAATGTATGAGCCTTCATGGAACTTCCCACTGATCAGGTAACTTGGATGTTGGATGCATTCCCCTCAAAAATATTGTGAAGGGATAAAAGGTTGCTACTGAGTATTTTACATTGGTATTCATTAACATTTCGATACAAATGTACTTCAGATACCAAAGGAGGCCCTCCCCAGGTGAATTGTTATTTTCCTAAGGCAAACCTCAGAGAGTAGAGAGGATATCAGGAGACTGTGTGCAATAGGGCTCCCAGTTCTGTGAAAGGGTTAGAAGCCAGGGTTAGAAACCAGATCATACTCCCAGGACTCAATGGAAGGACAATTCTCCTCCCCTTTATTCACTTGGCAGGAAACATGGTTGCCAGTATGCAACCATTAACAGATTCTGAGCCTGACCACGTAAAGCAGTCTTTAGACATATACCTAAGGGTCTGCTTAGGCAAGCAGGAGGGCTCCAGGAGACGATGTGTGGCTAACAAGTCAGATGTCTCAGCTCAAGTGTCCCCTCCTGTTCTGTGTATTTGTACCAATCAGTTCACCTTTCCAGACCCTGTGCTAGCCTTCTAGATCCATAACCTACCATTCCTCTTGTGTGGGACAGTCTGTCCTGAAGGTCACAGAATAATGTCATGAAGGTCATAGAACAATATACAGGAGATGTTTGATGACCTTGAATCCAAACTGTTCTAAGTTGTGGTCAGAAGCAAAGATGCTTCCGTGTGCCCTGGCAGGGTTTGACTTTAACAGAGAGGGTAGCATGTCTCCATCCCATCCCTAATGGCCAGCCAGTCCCAATCAAAGCTGTCTGTGCCAGACAACATGAAAACCAATGTATCAGGGCTATCACCATCTACTGTGGCACCCTTTACAAGTATCTAACCATTCCTTACATACAGGCAGCCTTGATTTCAAGACAGATAAGACATGGATGGCTGTTCTGTTTCCTCCCGCCTGTCCACAGAAACGTGATGCAGCTTTCTGCTAAAGCACTGGGCTTCTTGGGGCCTTCTTCTGAGTCACACGCATGAAGTTGATGCTGGAGCCGGTGCTACTGATGAGGGGAAAGGGCTGCGTGTATGAAACCGTCAGTAAAACATGGGATCATTGTCATTGCTTTCAAAAACATAGCTAATAGTTGGAAAGCTAATAGTTGGTAACGTTTGTTCTACATGTGACCTCGTAAGTATAAGAAGCAGTAAGAGTTGATCTTCAATTATATTCAGCTTCTCACTCAAGCAAAGCTAAGGAGAACAACAGTCAACAATCCAGGTGCTGTGCGAAGGCCACACCCATCCTCTTCTACTGGGCTAAATGAGAGGTTCTACATGTGGATGTGACCAAGGATTTTTTTTTTGTTGTCGTTGGGGATCACAGAACAGTCTGTAGTACATAAACACTCTGTGGATAACATACATAGAAAGGTGAACATTAGTACAAGACAGAGTCTGCAACGTTCACTCGTGAGGCCAACCTCCATTTGTCATCCATCCACACTAGGCTGCAGTCATGTCCTTAGAATTCACTGCTATTAAATAAGATATGGAAGAATCCTTATCAATAGCATCTCCTGCTCCTAGCCAGTAGAGAGAACAGGGTTCAAGCTGTTAAAACTATTACCACCACCACCACCACCACCACCACCACCACCATCAAAAACATAAGCTCAGCTTGCTTTACAGTCCAGGTTACAAATGGTCCCCTTAAGCCACACCATGCCCCAGAGCCTTCTGAGTTTGGAATTAGCCCTGTAGCAGTTCTTCAACAGAAGCCCGTGAGGGCCACAAGAAGCTTTCTTAAAAACAACAAAAGAGTTCCAGCTGGGTGAAACCGTTTCTCAACCGAGCTTTTAAAACTGGATTTTCAGATATACAAGAGGACAGGGGACAGAATACTTGGTTTTCTTTTGTCTTTTCATACTGTTTTTCTGGATAAAGCTACGATGTTTCTGCCAACGATACAGACAGCAGGGCGGCCAGAGCGGTGAGCACCATCATGGGCAGTGAGCTCAGACCGCAGCTGGGAGGAGCAGCCATTGATTTTGTGGTTATGTGGCTGGAGGCACCAGAAAGACCATCCTTTCCGTAATCATTCTGTAAGAAAGAATGTTTTCATTATACCCCACAGCACGTACCCACTACATCATGTTGGATTTTACCCATGTTCTCTATCTCTCCTTGCCCTCTCCATAATGGCCAGCACTCTCACAAAAAGCTAGCCTGAGAGTTAAGCACTGAGACTGAACTGGCCAACTTTTAGTTTTTTGAGACGGGACCATAAACTTTGGTAAGATGTGGATCCTTTGGATGAACTATTAGCCAATGCTTGCTGCTTGATCCATCATACATTCTTTTTGGTGGGAATGTTTAAACTGGGGGGGGGGTCACTGCCATTGTGTCTTCTTCTAGCTATGACCTGGCTTCTTTCTGACTCCTCCAGCACTGGGCAAGGAAGGCTGGAAGAACTGTCTGGAGAAGTGTAGCCCAAGGACAGACAGATGGATCAGACTGTATGTCATGGACAGACAGTTGCCAGAGTCTTTTTCTGATTCCCTAACCAACCCACAAGAGGTTTCATAGAATCTCAGAGTCTCCTAGCATGGAACAATGGGCTTAGAGCTGAGGCTGACTTTCTGGTACAGATCACAGTTGTACATTTCGTTCTGACTTTGCAGTGAATCTTAATTCTGCACTTTCCTCCAAAGGCAGGTCAATACAGGCTGATGAGACCTTTTCTGGATCCGAGACTTTATTGGTCTTCAAATATTATATATTACATACCCATTTCCAAAGCCTATGCCCCTATAAAGAAACACAAAAAGAAATGCCACTTACATCAGAGAGACAGAGATGTGTACTGCCCGACACATTGGATTTCAGCTTCTGTGCCTGGAGAGAGACAAAGGAGGGAAAAAAGCACTCAGACATAATAGGGAAGAGTAATTAATTATGATCCATTAATCAACAGTCTAGGGCAGGGCCAGATGATAAATACAGGAGCCACAACCGTGAGCCCCATCTGTAATTTACAACATTCAAGTGGCTGCCTAATAAAGAGGTAGCAGGTAAGGTTAATTTTAATTATATATTTTATTTAACCAACTGTATTATCATTTGAACACAGAATCAATATAAGAAATTAATGAGATATTTGGCATTCTTTCTTCCCAGGTCTTCAAAATACATTCTCTGACCCCGCAGGTCTCTGTTCAGGGATGCCTTAATTCAGAGCTCAGCAGCTACCTGTCACTGGTAGCTTTTTTGTCTCAGGGATGGCACAGGCAGGGCAGGGACATTGAAGAAAGAGCTTTGAAGTGGTGACTCATTTGTCTTTCTGGGTGTTAATTTGGGGAAAGTGCTACTTTAAAACATCACAACAGACACGCCTGCATATTAGTTATATAGAGACCCGTGGAAACCCTTTCCTTTGCTGATTTGCCAAACTCCCCGCCCCAATCAACAAACAGGAAGGAGCTCTTAATGTTTCTTTAGGATGGGCATGGGGCAGGGAAAGTGAAAGAATTCAGTCCCTGGGCTCATGGGGCTTCTTGTTTCTTGGCAAACAATTCCATGTTTGAAGTCAGAGCACACTGAGGGACTCTCAGATGGATGCCCTCCAGGAAACATATAGCCCTATAGACCCTGTGGTACTCTGAGTTAGAATGGTCGCCATAGCCTCACATCTTTGAGTGTTTGTTTCCTGGATGGTGAACTGTTTGGGAAGGATTAGGAGGTGTGTGGCTTTGTTGGAGGAGGTGTGTCAGTGAGGTAAGCTTTGAGGTTTCAAAAGCCCACACCAGACCTCTGTCTCTCACTTTCTGTCTGTCTCTCACTGTTTCTCCCTTCCTCTCCCCCTTCTCCTCTGTCTGTCTCTGCTGGCAGATCATGATGTGACGTTTTTAAGCTATTGCTCCAGTGTCATACCTGTCTGCTTTGGTCATGTTGGCTCTTCAGAGCAATAGAATAGTAACTACGAGATCCTAAAACTTAAAAACTGACTCAGAGGTAGTTGCTAGAAGCTGAACAGTGAAGGCATAAAGCTCTTTTCTTCTTAGCTGGACCCACTCCCCCTTTGGGCTTATGCCTGAGCAGTCAGTGGATGGGATGTTTCCATTACTCAGATAATTGCAATGAACAGATCTTGAAAGCTACCCAGTCAGTACAACACTTGTTTTACAAACATGGACAACTTAAGCCCAGACAAGTTAAATGGCTAAGGTGCTTATAAGACAGGATATAATGGAGACTCCACAGGGCTATGAAAATATGCTCTTCTCTGGAGCGTATCACAGTCTCTTTTTTGGGGAGTCTCTGCCCTCCCCAAAATCCACACACAAAAAAAAACTCTTCCCATGACACTCACCCTGAGCCCTAACAACAGCAGCCTTTGACACCAATGGGGAGCTTGTTTGTCAGGAAGGGAAGCCCTGGTAAATAGTCATCACCTTTGAATTGAGGAGGCACCTGAGCGACCAGCTCTGAGGGCATGACATTAGCAGGCTGCCTGTATACTATGAGCAGTCGTGACTCACAGAAGACACATGAGGCTAAAACGACAGCAGGCTCACCCGAGGAGTAATTTGTTGACCATAATGCAACTGGGAAAGCATCATAATCTTTACCTATATTTGCATATGCCAGCAGCGAATATGAAATAGAAACCTTTAAGCATGCTTCAAGAACAAGACACTGTGAAACATCCCCGGGCTGTTCAAAGGTCACTAAATGTTATGTATAAGAAGATCAGAGGGGAAATTGGAAGCGGAATTACACTTACTCAAAAGCCTACTTTTAATCTGTAATAATAGGAAGCCCGATCCACTGTCCTGCTACCTATGGAGAATAATGTCTAGGGTATCATGTTTTATTCGTAGTCAAGTCTGGAATTGTGCCCAGACACCCAAATGACCCTGTAACATTCCACTCTGCCTTTTCTTCACTAGACCATAAGATGCAAAGACAAAATCCCCACTGAGGGACTATGCATAACTAATCCATTCACTGACTGGTTTGGGGATGCAGAAGGACCTCTGAGCCATAATACAGTGTGGCCTTAAGCTTTTTCTGTAGTGTGGTTACAGCCAAGCAGCACCTCAGGGGACCGCTGTACCCCCTAAGAGTTCACAGTTGGGTACCACCCTCTCTGTGTCAGCCAGCAAGCACCAGTGAGCTCGGGATTTGCTCAGTGTACTTGTAATCTACAGTTCTGTCACTGTATCTCTGTCTCCGGGGAACCTCTGACAGCTTTAGGAGACTGTTCCCATGGTTAAATAATTATACTGGGACTTCTAGTAGCTAGCCAGAAAGGGCTGCTGTCTTCCCAGTTGTCCTCATGGGTTTCCATACACATGGGTAGACTTCTATGCCCCATCACTGAGGACCCACACTAAATAAAATGTTGCTAAACTCTCCAACAGGTCAACACGCCTACAGCTAAACTGCCAGCTCATGTCTTTACTGAGAATGGATGCAGTGATTATTTATTGGCTCTGAAAAATACACTCAGAGCTTCCCCAAGTCTGTGCCACCTAGGGGCTCCTGTTCCCCAAACAGCATCCAATGTACCTTTCTAACAATTAGCCTGTAGCCTGGAGGACCATCCTGGCAGGCATACCTACACAAAATTCCGAATCCAAGCGAGAATATGGTGCCCAACTTAGAGAGGCTTCCCATGGTAGCCTTCCCAGAGTTTGCACTAAGAAGTCTGGCTTTCCACAGGCCAAGGCAGGTCTATAGCACTTAGCAAGTTTCCTGTAGAAAGAACTAGTATTGAGGATGTCACCTGGAGGATGAGCAGGGTAAACACAAGTCTTGCAGGACCTACCCAGCAGGGGACACTGTAAGGTGTGTGGCCCTGATGAGGAGGTGAAGGCAGCCGGTTCTTGAGCAATAAAATCAAAGGATTGCATACAGATGTGAGATGTTTTTAATCCCTCACTGATAAGATACAGGCCAAAGAGTCCATGGAGATCCTGGAATTAGCTACAGACCAAGGGTTGTCTAGTACTCACGCTGCATGTGATCCACACACAGAGGGGCAGAACGAGGCTCACAGATGTGAACAGTGGCTGGCTGCAAGCCTAGGAATCTTGTATTCAGCACGAGTCCCAGTGACCTCTGAGTATCAGAAACATTCACTACTGCAGCCCCAGGGCCTCCTTGAGAAAATCTGGGCCTTAAAGTACCAGAAACCTGTTATTTCCATGTTTGGTTGATTTTCATCCTGAATATTTTTTTAAACATCATTAAACAATCAGTCTAGCTAGTCAGTTGTGATAAATTCAAACATAAAATGGCAGGGTGCCCCCATTTCAATGACTGTTGAGTGACTGTCTAGTAAAACAGTTTTATTTGCTGAAAACTGAGATAGAGTCAAGGAAGTTAAAAAAGACAAACATGCACACAAAACACACACAGAGACACACACACCACACACACACCACACATAAAGACACACACACACCACATACAGACACACACATACCACACGTACAGACACACACACATCACAGACACACACACATCACACAGACACACACACACCACACACACACACACACCACACACATACTATACACACAGTAAACACACAAACCACATACACACAGACTGACACATGTACCACACACATACACACTCATCACTCACACAAACACACACACAGACACACACACACCACACACACACCACACATAAAGACACACACACACCACATACAGACACACACATACCACACATACAGACACACACACATCACAGACACACACACATCACACAGACACACACACACCACACACACACACACACCACACACATACTACACACACAGTAAACACACAAACCACATACACACAGACTGACACACGTACCACACACATACACACTCATCACTCACACAAACACACACACACCCCTCCTGAGACTTGACAGAGAGTAAACTAAGCTCAAAAGTGGAAAAGCAGCTGTCATCAGTAAAGTGTAAACTGGTAAAGCCAGTTCAGTTCATAAAGAGAAGCTGGCACAGGATGTGAGGGTCTGCTGTGGTCCCCTGATAACAATGTCATACATGGTCACCTGACTTGGGGCTCAGGCAGCCCACACCTACATGGACACTGACTTAGCACACTCTGGCTTTAAAACAGGGTATATCTCTAAAGATAGGAAGAAAAGGAAAGCCTATTCTGTTTCTGTAACAGTTAATTTGAACAATTATTGCAGTAGGCTTAAAAAATGAATTATTTAATGACCTTTATGAAAAAGTGCTTCCTATCTGTTAATTCCTGGTCCTGTGGTTTGGGTGAAGACTCCCTACTCTGCTTTGTGTGAAAGGTCACCATCAAGATGCAGTACCTTGTGGTTTTCATCTCAAGGGTTAAAAAAGGCAAGTGGATGCTGGGAAAAGCCTTCCCTACATTCTAGAAAACCACAGCCCAGAAACTTGCCCTTTAGAGTCTCCATAAGCTTTGTCCCTCCAGCAGTTGTTACAAAATTGTCCCTGGTGGTAATCAACAAGTCCAGGCTTGTCACATAATAGAATTTCCAGGGCTCTGTAATTGGGAGGCCAGACCTCACCAGACCCTGGCACCAGAGGGTTAATAAATGCATTAGATGCTGTTAACCTCTGGTACCTGGAGTCAGAGCGGCCTCTCTACCTTTTACCCGGCCATCAGCATTTGCAAAGTCAGTTTCAGTGCCAATAGCACTCTAGTGCAGAACACATGTAGCTGGCAGCAGAGTCTCCACCTGCTTCTGCCCACAGTAGGCTCTGCAGGACTTTGGGGACAGCTCAGGTTTGTGAGCAGCACGCCTGGCCTGTTTATGGAATTGGAGACTTAAAAGTGCGCCCATGCAGAGCCTGGCCTTTGCTGCCCCAGGACTCCATCTCTGTG